GAAATGTAAATAAATAATTTTTTTAAATTATTAATTCTAATTTTTAAGTGAAAAAAATATTTTTTTTATATCACAAAATAACAAAGATAACAATTTTTTATTGAGATTTAAATTATTATTTAAAGGTTTGTTAATAATGTGATTATAATCTTTAATTACTTCATCTACTTTTAAAATAATAAATAAATAAAATAAAAAAGTAGATTAAAAAATGACATCCACCGCTGCGTCGATATTACTTTCTATATTCATTTATTTTTGTTTTAGATCCCTAATTTTAAGCACTCTATATATATTCCTCTTGAGTACTCTATTGCGCCAAACAAAGATATGAGGATCTTTACAAAGCTGTCTGCACCACTCTGCCTCCTTTTTGTCTTCCTGTGTCTTAAAACTGCCTTCTCATCCTCTATACATGCTTCTTCCTTCTCAACAACGCATCTCTGCTCTCATGAGGAGGCTCTTGCTTTGCTGCAATTCAAGACATCCTTCTCCATCAATTACACCATTCCTTATCCATATTATTGTGTGGAAAGTTATTCTAAGATTGAGTCATGGAAGGAAGGTACAGACTGTTGTTCCTGGGATGGGGTTAGCTGTGATAATGTCACAGGCCATGTAATTGCCCTTAATCTCAGCTGCAGTTTCCTTTATGGCACCTTTCCTTCCAACAGCACTCTTTTCTTCCTCAGAAACCTGCAGAGCCTCAATCTTTCCTTGAATGATTTTAGGCTTTCCAAGATTCCATCGGAAATCAGTCAGTTTACTAGACTAAAGCATCTTGATGTCTCTTTTTCTCGATTTTCAAGCCAAGTTCCAGGAGAAATTGCTCACCTCCCCAAGTTAGTTTCTCTCAATCTCTCTAATGACCCTTATTCTGATTCTTCTGACTTGATCCTTGAAACAGCTATCCTCAAAAATCTTGTTCATAACTTGAGTGAGGTGAGAGAACTTGTTCTTAGTGGAGTAAACATGACATCCGTCAATCCTCGTTTCTTCATGAATCTCTCTTCTTCATTGACTACTCTTGATCTTTGGGAGAGTGCGTTAAGAGGAAACTTTCCAGACAGTATTTTCTGCTTTCAAAATCTCAAGAAGTTTTATTTAAGTGGAAACAGAAACCTCACTATCGATCTTCCAAATTCCAATTGGAGCAGTCCTCTCCAACGGTTGTATTTAGGTGATATGGATTGTGGAAAGCGATTGCGAGAGTCTGTAGGAGATCTGAAGTCATTACAGTTTCTGCGTCTTGGCTGCAACTTGGAAGGTTCCATTCCAGCTTCCATAGGGAACTTATCTCAACTTACTTACCTAAGGATCTCTTCTAACAATCTCAGCGGACAAATCCCAACATCACTTGCAAACCTCACACAACTTACCTCCCTTGACCTTTCCGATAATCAGTTTTCTGGTCCCATTCTAGCTTCCATATGTAACTTAAGGCAACTTACTAGCCTAGACCTCTATTTTAACAAATTTAGCAGACAAATCCCATCATCACTTGCAAACCTCACCCAACTTACCTATCTTTCCCTTTTCCATAATCAGTTTTCTAGTCCCATTCCAGCTTCCATAGGTAACTTAAGGCAACTTACTATCCTAGTCCTCTATTCTAACAATTTTAGCGGACAAATCCCACCATCACTTGCAAACCTCACCCAACTTACCCTTCTTGACCTTTCCCATAATCAGTTTTCTGGTCCCATTCCAGCTTCCATAGGTAACTTAAGGCAACTTACTAGCCTAGTCCTCCATTCTAACAATCTTAGTGGACAAATCCCATCATCACTTGCAAACCTCACCCAACTTACCTCTCTTGACCTTTCCAATAATCAGTTTTCTGGTCCCATTCCAGCTTCCATAGGCAGCTTAAGGCAACTTACTAGCCTATACCTCGATTCTAACAATCTTAGCGGACAAATCCCATCATCACTTGCAAAGCTCACCCAACTTACCCCTCTTGAGCTTTCCAATAATCAGTTTTCTGGTCCCATTCCAGCTTCCATAGGTAACTTATCTCAACTAGCTTACCTAAGCCTCTCTTCTAACAATTTTAACAGACAAATCCCATCATCACTTGCAAACCTCACACAACTTCTTTATCTCTCTCTTTCTTATAACTTACTTAATGGCATGTTGCCAACTTGTATTTTCACCCTACCTTTGTTAAAGTACTTGTATCTCAATCATAACCAACTTCAAGGTCAAATAAATCAATTCCCACAAAACTCACTCACACGCCTAGATTTGTCAAACAATAAACTCCAGGGCTCAATTCCTAACTCAATTGCCAATTTAGTAAATCTTAGTTATCTCAATTTGTCATCAAATCATTTTAGTGATTTAGTAGTACCTGATATGTTCTTGGCACTTCAAAATCTCGAAATTCTTGACCTTTCTCATAACAACTTAATCAGGAAGATTCCAAATTGTCTTCCTAAGTCTCTCTCAGTGTTGAATTTGCAGGCCAATTACTTTGATGGAAATATAGCATTTGGGTTTCCAGAGGGCTGTGGATTACGAAATCTCAACTTACATGGAAATCAAATGGACGGCTTATTACCAAGGTCTTTGGTGAATTGTCGCATGTTAGAGGTTCTAGACGTTGGCAACAACAACATAAGTGATACATTCCCTCATTGGTTGGAATCTCTACCACACCTTCAAGTGCTTGTCTTAAGGTCCAACAAGTTCCACGGTTCTGTGCAGAGCAAAAAAGAAAGTCCATCTTTTCCCAAGTTGCGAGTTCTGGACCTCTCCAGCAATTATTTTGTTGGTGCTTTGCCTGTTCGGTACATTGAAAATTTTAATGCGATGATGGACCCTCATAAAGACGGTGGTTCCCCTGAATACATGATGGTGTCGACGAGAACCAATTATTATCAATATTCACTGGTTGTGACATGGAAGGGATTCGAGTATGAGCTGCAGAAAATCTTGACCGTATTCAGTAGTATTCATCTCTCAAATAACATGTTTGAGGGAGAAATTCCAGATGTTATGGGAAAGCTTAGTTCTCTCAAAGGGCTTAATCTTTCTCATAACAACCTTACTGGTCATATCCCACTGTCACTAGGGAATTTGACGAATCTGGAATGGTTGGATCTCTCTTCCAA